CCTGTAATCCCAGCACTCTGGGAGGCTGAGGCGGGTGAATCATGAGGTCAGGAGATCGAGACCATCCTGGCTAACACGGTGAAACCCCATCTCTACTAAAAATACAAAAAATTAGCCAGGTGTGGTGGTGGGCGCCTGTAGTCCCAGCTACTTGGGAGGCTGAGGCAGGAGAATTGGCTTGAATCCAGGAGGCGGAGGTTGCAGTGAGCCGAGATTGTGCCACTGCACTCCAGCTTGGGCAACAGAGCGAGACTCCATCTCAAAAAAAGAAAAGAAAAGAAAAAGGGTTTTGTTATCAATGAAAGTTGAAATATACAGCATATGCTAGGCTTCACCTAGAAATTGCCATTGCACGTTAGCAGACTAAAAGTTCTGAGAAGTGCTATATTGAAGAAACCTATTTAACTCAGTGTGTTAACTGAACTTATTTGGCCTTGGAATTTAAAATCACAAAATGCTTATTAGTAACATCATGTGGACCACCAGTGTTCCTTGAACATGATCTGGAAAACACTGTCTGAGAGAGAGCAAAGATAAACCAGAGTGATTGGAAAGCAGGTTTGGTTTCAGACATGTTCAGTATGAAAGGGACATGGTTGTTCAAAAAAGAAAATAGAAGTTTGGGTGACTGAGGACTTTGGTGTGTCAAAGTAACAGAATGAAAAAATCCTCCTGCTTTTAGACTGGAGTTTTGAACTCTTATTGCACCTCAGCATGTTTTTGTGATCTTATCAAAGAGGAAGTGTCTGGCATTTCTCCTAGTGGGGCTGTGCCCTTTGATGTTGTTTCTCAGAGCAAATTCAGTTTTGATCAATTCTGTCATGGCCTCACGCCAGTCGCTCCATGCTGTAGGTGCTCCAAATACCAGTGAATCAGATTCCAGTGATACATTGCTCTGTGGCCATGCCGCACATGAAACGGGAAAACAGCCATTGCATTTTCTCCAGGAGTCCAGTGCCATCATTTTCCCACACTAAATCACAGCTAGTCTTGCAAGACCACTTCCTGCAACTAATCCTTTCCAGCTCTTCCTTTGAGTCCACCCCCAGGTCTGGAGTGCCCTGGCCTTTAGATTTCCTTCCAGTCTCGAGGGCTCTATTAACGTGAACATTTTCGGGCTTAGTGCCTTCTGATTTAACACCCTGGGTCTAGCTGAGAGCTAAAAATACCATCCTTTCCAGCTGATCTGCCCTAATCACAATAGCACCAACACTTTAAATAGCTTTTCTGTGCTAGCATAGACATTTGACAGATGGAACTAACACTCTGAGGGCTACAGGAAGTCACAGGCTTAAAGGACTTACCAACTTAGCACTGAGCTTTACTTTGCTCTTTCATGTCTTTCTAGAGAATAAAGAAACGGACCGTCTTCCCAAGTCTTAATAATTAATCAGATCTTAAGAGAAAAGTATATGATGGGAGTGCTTATGATACCACTAATTGTTTACATACTAGAAAATGTTAGATCAGAAAGCTGCTGACAGAACTCTCTCCTTTCTAGCACTGATCATTTCTGTGGATGTTGGGAGATCTGTATGAATCTGTTTTACATCTTACCATTACAGCTACATTTGGGGTTAATAGGTATCTGGGACTACTGTCTTAAGTGCACAAGAAGTAGTTGCCTCTCCAGCCATATCTGGAAAGGAATCTTTGTAACAAACAGTTCTACGAATCTGTTTTTTAAATTAAGTGTTTATAATATTAAGAAAAGCTCAGAGACTTTATGTATCTATTTTCATTAGTTAGGTACTGTAATGAGAGACCAATATTTGTTCCAGCCTGGGGGCTAGGTAAGGGTGAATTCTGTTTCATTGTTTTGTTGTGGCTTTCCCCATCCTTTGGAATATTTCAAAAATGGAAACACTTCCACCTAGCACCTAACTATAATTTGGTTGCTTAAATGGTAAAAAGCACTCTTTTCAGCAATCATAGTGGTTTTGAACTTGCTAATAAATACCACAGCAGGTCCACAGATGTAAATTCCCCCATTCCCACTCTCTAATATGAGTACCTCCTTCACCCTTATTGCTGTCAGAGGATGTGTGACCTTAACTAAAGTAGAAAGATAAAGGAAGGAAGATCACATCCATACCTTCTAAGAGTTCAGACCCCAGATTCAAAATGCCAAATTTATGGAAGGATACAAAAAAACCATAAGAAATCTTATCTTGGCTGGGCTGAGTGGCTCACACCTGTAATCCCACACTTTGGGAGCCTGAGGCAGGAGGATGATGTGAGCCTGGGAGGTCGAGACTGCAGTGAGCCGTGATCATGCCACTGCACTCCAGTCTGGGCATCAAAGAAAGACCCTGTCGAGAGAGAGAGAAAGCAAGGAAGGAAAAAGAAAAGAAATCATATCTTGAATGAAGTGTAACTCTATTTGACCATCTTTTTTTATTCTGTGCTTTGGGATAAATCTCAGTGTCTTATGCCTAAGGTGATATCATAAGCACACACTGAAACAACATTAGATTACGTGCTCATTCTCAAAGTCTCACAACTATAAGATTCCGTCATGTTTCCCAGAAGTTCAAAATGTGTTTTAAAAAATTAAAAACTGTAATATCTTGTCAAGAATTATATCCCTCTCTGACCAAGAAGCCTCCTTATATCTGGCTTCCCTTGCCATTCTTAATCATACATTTAGCAAAATCTGATCATTCTGCAATCTGTAAATCTTCAAACTCAAACCTAATACCTAAAATATATAAAAATCAAATCACACATACTAATGTTATGGAACCCTCTAGCCTTCTGATAAAAATCACAGTGCAGTCATTCATTAGGAACAGAGCTAGGTTGCTGGCCAGAATGCTTCCAAATGTATTAAAGTTACATCAATTCAACTTGCTTATTCTTCCTGGCTGTTTGCCATGTTTTCTAATTCTAGAAGAGTGAGAGTGAGTGAGTGAGAGAGAGTTTCTTAGCCTGTCATCTCTTAGGTGGTGAAATAATTGAGATTATTTCATAATTATTTCTGTAGGAGTCTGGCCCTTGCCACATATATACGCTAGAATGTATTTGTGCCTGTGCAGCAAGGTGGCTGTTCAACAAAGGCTCCTACTTTGTGTGTGTTTGGGTTTCCTGGGAAATGAGCAAAGGCCTGGAAAGTTAGGAATGATTTTTACAACTTAAAGCAAGCCCCTCTGTGTTCAAGACAATCGTGTCAAAAGGCATTAGCCAAAGCCTAGCTGATGATGTTGCCTAGCAACCCAGTCAAAGCTGCAAGAGCCCTTCATTGTGGGAACCAGGATGGCAGCCAGAACTGCCTCATCCCCCACTAGGTGATTAAAAGGGCATATTAAGGCCCCTTCTTCCAGCAATATTGCATGTAAGTACCCTGAGATACATTTTTTGACTCCTCAAATAGAGCCATTTCTTGACTACTCTGCTTGGTGTTAATGAAAACCTTGGAAATAAAAGAGGAAAAGCTAAGTAATAACTAAGTGTGTTAAAAACGTCTCATGAAAGGAGTCTTAGTGCCTCCTCTCCTGAGCTGTCGGTGGTTTGAATGTGGGAGAAAGACACCAGGGTGAGAGCTACCTGCAAAAGTAGTTCACATCTATGTCTATGGTATTATGTAAATATTGGCATCTCCAACACCTATCAGAGCAGATAGTGATGAGAGGTACCTGTTGTATCGCAGATAACGTGGGAAACACAGTGATGAAAAACTGCAGGATCCCTTTGTTCAGAGAGCTTACTGTTTAGAAGGGTAGAAAGACCATCCATCATGGCAACCTTTTCCCAGAGTGCACAATAGAATATGACAGATTTTTATGTGGGGAGCATTTAGTTCTTGAAGTAGGCATGAGTAATTTGAATGCTGTCTTCAGAAATGAATATAATAAACAGTCAACAAAGAAGCAGTGCTTGTCATCTCTATTCTTAAAGTTTCTCTGATAACAGCAACATCTCATAAAGAGAGAAATAACCTTTAATTCTGGAACGTTATGTCTTTTTGAAGCTATAGTCATGAGGAAGAGCCAAAATACCAACCCATTCTTACCCTGAGTTGGTGACTATGAAAACTTCTGTCATGACCAGCAGCAGCAGCTGGGATCTTAGGATCTAGCAGCAGTCACCTTTGCACAGCTTCAGTCTTTCTCAAAATCTGTGGTTGAGACAGTTTGTTCTGTTATTATTTTCAAGGCATAGTATTCCCTAAAGGCTTAAGAAATCATTTTTGCCTGCTTTGAGAAAAAAAAAAAATCTTAAACATCTAGGTTAATAAATTTGATTTGCAGTTGAATTCTGCAGCTCTGGGCCCTTCCAGATCCTGGCAGTTGAGGCCCGAGTGGCTCACAATGAAGTAGTAGTGACTTGGGAAGTAGCGCTGTGGATGTGGTCATCAGTCTGTGTGTCCCCATTGGTCTGGAGCCAGCATCCAGAAACAAATACCAACATGACAGTCACTATGGCTTACCCACACACTCATTTCTGTCTTTGTCCTCTTCAGAGCCTTCTTTACCTGTCTAGCACCTAATTTGAGATTGCCAACTCCTTAGGCCCACCAATTTCATAATCTCCAAAGGTAACTCGCACTAATCCATAGGTGTACCTTATTCTGTGTTCAGTCCTGGAATCTGATAGGCAGACAATTCATGAACCTGTTCTTTACTTTTTGCTATTGTGTGGGAGAATGGCTTCTGAAATGTACACATGTCCCTGTGACAGTACTTGTCAGGGAACTGAACACACGTGTCTCATAAGGATGTGAGAATAGAGTACACATTTGTTTGAGATTTTAACTGAAGGTGTTGGATTTTGAATCTGTATTTCTAGACACTGTTTCCAGCAAGTTGCAAAACAACAATGTTTATACTATTGCCAAGAGAAATGTGGAAGGGCAGGACATGCTGTACCAATCCCTGAAGCTCACTAATGGCATTTGGATTTTGGCTGAGCTACGTATCCAGCCAGGAAACCCCAATTATACGGTAAGGCCTTTCTCAGAATGGGTAAGATGGATTAGAAGAGGGAGGTGAGAGCCCTTTCATTTTTACTTAGTACTCTAGAAAGACCTGGAGGAGGTGCTTCAAACCCGAGATATACAAAATAAGTAGTCAGTGAAGAAGCTTCCATTTGCCTCAATGGAAGACCTCCTCTCTGCAGTGTCTGCCCCATCCAACAGGGATGGTACCTCTGGCAAGTGCCTCAAATCCATCCCTCCCCTCTGGTATATACAGAGCTGCTCACAAAACTTGGCATCTTCATCCTCAATATCAGTTAATATGAATCTAGTGTATCTGTGCATGTGGTACTATAACAAGCTGCCGAGAGGATTGTTTACATAGCTAATGTCAAGAAGACCTTTCTTGCTGTTGGAGTTCATGACCTAAGGCTATCAGAGTCATTAACACATGAACTTTTTTCAGCAGCATTGTATGACCTGAAATACTTGTTATTAAAGGTAAGGCAAAATGGAACACACCTTTGGAAGCGCATAGGGGGACTTTAGTTTGGGAAACTTCCTTCAGTATCACACTGAACTAAAGTAAAAATTGTGGCAATAATAAGGCAGAAGCAGTTGCTTTGTTAAACAGCAAAGATTGATACCCAAGCACTAGGCATTTGTTTGCTATTGTAAAATGCAATTTCCCAATAGGATGCTGCTTGTCATCTGCATTTTGAAAAGTAAAGAAAAAACCCTTGGGATGGGAGAAATATCTTATTCCTCTGTTGTGTTTGAGGGTTTTAGAGGGAGCTATTTAATTCTGAGGAAGCTGAATAGTCAGTAGCTTAAGGGAGCCTTTTAGTCATTTAGCTGAGAAAAGTCTGTGACCCGTTCCTTAATTTTGACAGCTAAGTCTGTTTTCACTAGCATATATCAAGGGAATAGTACCATCCAGAACTGAACATTCTTGGTGTTTTTCCCACTAGTTCCCTTCCTTGAAGTAAGTCGGAGTAGTGCGGGTTGTCTGTGTGTGTGTGTGTGTATGTATGTGTGCACGCTTGCTCCTGAGGCCTAACAGGTTAGACTTTTGCCCAAGCACTTATGAGCTGAAAAACTTTAGGCTTCCCTCATAAAATGTGTGCTCCTCTCCCCAACCCCCCACCAGTCTCATCTTTTTTGAAGAGTAACATACACTGTCATTTATCTTGAGTTTCCCAAGAAAGGAAAACCCCTCTGTGCTGTTTCTGGAGGGACAAGTTTTACTATAAAACCAAGTTAGCGCATGCCTGTAATCCCAGCTACTGGAGAGACTGAGGCAGGAGGAGGATCACCTGAGCCCATGAGTTCAAGACCAGCCTGGGTAACACAGTGAGACCTTGTCTCAGTTGGAAGAAAAAAAGGGTTGAGGGGAGAATAACTCCATTTACTCTCTAAAAATTTGCCAAAAGTTTGTATATGGGTGTGTGTGTGTGTGTGTGTGTGTGTGTTTTTCCTTTTTTTCTTTTTGCTTACTGTCCATTATTTTATTATATATAATCTTCCATCTCAGCTAGGTTAAAGAAGCATGATTACTCCCAGGTTGCAGATAAGTAAACCATGGCTAAGAATGATTAGTGACTAGTTCAAGATCATGTAATTTGTTGGTAGGTGAGTTTTGTTTAGAATTCAGGTGTTTCTTGACACTCTTCTTAACACCATATTCTTGATTTTGAGAAGAGCTTCTTAGTATCACTGTCCTAAAGATAGTTTGTTAAAATTTAAAAAAATGTTTAATTTTGAAATAATTAAAGATTTAACAAATTTTTTAAATGGAACAACAGAGTTTCTACATCTCTTTTACCAGTTTTCCCCATTAATAATAACATCTTACACACCTATACTACATTTTCAAAACTAGGAAATAGATATTATTACAATATAATAATTAACTATAGACATTATTCTCATTTCACCAGTTTTTACATTACTTTTGGGGGTGGGAAATTGGTAGTGTATGGTACTATGAACTCTTATTACATGTATCAATTTGATAACTGCTGCCAGAGTCCAGACACAGACTTGTTCTGTCACCACACACAAAAAATACCTTTATGGTCAGACTCTCACCCCAGCCCTAACCCCTGGCAGCCTTTCTCCATTACTATAATTGTGTCATTTTTAGAATGTTGTATAAATTACACATGTAGCATGTAACCTGTTAAGATTGTTTTTTGCACACATAATACTCAAAACATTCTTCCTAGTTGTTACATTTATCCATAGCTTGTTCTTTTTTATGGCCAAGTAATAGTTCACTATATCCATGTACCACAGTTTCTCCATTCACCCTTTGAAGAATATTTTCTCCTTTAAACAAAAGTTTTGAGGTAATTTTAAAGTCATATGCAGTTGTGAGAAATTATACAGTGACTGGGTGTGGTGGCTCATGCCTGTAATGCCAACACTTTGGAAGGCTGTAATGGGAGGATCGCTTGAGGACAGGAGTTCAAGACCAACCTGGTCAACATAGTGGGACCCCATTTTTATTAAAAAATATTTTTTAAAAGAAATTATACAGTGAGCTCTTCCTGTAAGTGGCCTGAGATGATTTCTGTTCAGTTGGCCTAGAAAACCTCTAAAATCATACAAAGCAAGAGATTCAAATCTTCATGTTCACTTTAAGAACACCCGTGGAAGTGCCCAGGCCATCAAATGTATGCATATCCAAATAGCCACCAAGTACTTGAAAGATGTCACTTTATAGAAGCAATGTGTGTCATTCCATATTGTTATAATGGAGTTGGTAGGTGTGCCTAAGCCAAACAGAGGGGCTGGGCACAGGATGATAGGTAGCCCAAAAAGAGTGCTACATTTGGGCTGTACACGCTTAAAAAGGCAAAGAGTAATACTGACCCTAAGGGTTTAGATGCAGATTCTCTGGTCATTGAGCATGTCCAGGTGAACAAAGCCCCAGGAAATGTTGCTGAACTTACAGAGCTCATGTCACATTAACCCACCATAAACTCCCCTGCCACATATTGAAATAATCCTTACTGAAAAAGAGTAAATTGTTCCTAAACCAGAAGAGAGGCTTGCAGGGAAGAAAAAGATATCCCAGAAGAAATTGAAGAAAACACAAATGTATAGCCTGGGAATAAATTCAGCATGGAATAAATGCAAATAAAAGTTTAAAAAAATAGATTCTGTCCTCATGGTTTAGCCACACCCACCTTCCTTTGTCCCATATATTTTTATTTTCTATATATATGTGTGTGTGTGTGTGTGTGTATTATATATAGAGAGATGGGATCTCGCTATGTTGTGCAGGCTGTCTCAAACTCCTGGCCTCGAGCAATCCTCCCATCTCGGCCTCCCAAAGTGGTGGGATTGCAGGCATGAGCCACTGCACCCGGCCCCCTCCAACCCCATATTTTTAAATGGTGAATTTGTTTATACTTCCTTGCTCCCTTTCCTATTCTTCATCCTATCTGGTGACTAGGTTCTCTCTGCCCATAATACCATCTAAATCTCCCATCATAGCACTTGACAAATAGGTCTAATTTGTTCCCCTAAGTGGCACCCCAGACTCTAAAGTCATTCTGATCCATTCCCTTCATCACCCTAAGTTCCTATTACACTATTAATCTGATCTGAGCTAAGTATTAAGAAAGAAAGAAGGCCGGGCGCGGTGGCTCACGCCTGTAATCCCAGCACTTTGGGAGGCCGAAGCGGGCGGGTCACTAGGTCAGGAGATCAAGACCATTCTGGCTAACACGGTGAAACCCCATCTCTACTAAAAATACAAAAAGTTAGCTGGGCATGGTGGCTGGCACCTGTAGTCCCAGCTACTCGGGAAGCTGAGGCAGGAGAATGGCATGAACCTGGGAGGTGGAGCTTGTAGTGAGCCGAGATCGCACCACTGCACTCCAGCCTTGGCAACAAGGGAGACTCCGTCTCAAAAAAAAAAAGAAAGAAATCTGGTTGAGCCAGCACTAATGCATGACAGACTGAGGGTACCTTAGTCTCCTAAGAGGGGTTAATAAAACACCTCCCAAACCCCAGTTTTTATTGTATTTTGTTAACAAGATAGGTTTATCCTATTCCTATAAGGGTGAGGCTATATCTCTGTAAGTAAGTAAGCCTCACCTGAAAGATAACTTGTCCCACGTGAAGCAGTGTATGTTCCATACCATATGCCAAAAGTGGATGCGTAGCCCCTTAACTTTAATTAAGCAGGACTGGTGACTCTTCTGCCCTTGGTGTGTCTAGTTTGGACTGGATTCCTGAGTGGCTGATGTTAAAGATATGTCACATAAGCAATTAGCAGTTGGAAAGTTAAGCCCCAGGGAAGGCCTCTTTCTCCCTAGGAGCCATACAAAGTGAGACCCAGAGTCCTAGCTGTATTTAATAAACTTGACACTTTGTCAGAGGCTGGGATGGAGGTCAGAGTGGGGAGGTGTGGATATTAAGAGTCCAGAGACAGAAGTTTATTCCCCATCCTCCAAAGACCAGCTGTAATGCCCAGGGCCTAGGGTCTGGTCAGTCCATGACTCCCCACCAATGCCAGCCTTGGCAGTTTGAGCCGTTGTTGAGGAAGGCAACATTTCCTTACTAGTCGTAAACATAAAAATGAACCTCCAGCTGGAGGAACTTCAAGTATTGTTACAAAGATGTGGAAAAATACAAGATAGTATTTTGGGGGAGTATTTGGGGACTACCTCTCTTTAGTCTGGGAGTTAACTCTCTTAAGCTGTTGTTTCTCTTTTTAGATTCCTCTTCTCTTCCATTTCTGAACCCACATATTCTCCCACTAGAATTTTCCACAACATTGGCAGTAGAGAAGGCTGTAGAGAAGGAGGTACAAGAATTGCTTCAGGCCGGGCACAGTGGCTCATGCCTATAGTCCCAGCACTTTGGGAGGCTAAGGCAGGTGGATCACCTGAGGTCAAGAGTTCGAGACCAGCCTGGCCAACATGGCAAAACCCCGTCTCTACTAAAAATACAAAAAGAAAAAAAAATTGCCAGGTGTGGTGGCATGCGTCTGTAATCCCAGCTACTCGTGAGGCTCAGGCAGGAGAATCGCTTGAACCCGGGAGGTGGAGGTTGCAGTGTACTGAGATCATGCCGCTGCATTCAAGCCTGAGTGGCAGAGCAAGACCCTGTCTCAAAAAAAGAATTCCTTCAATAGGTAGTTTGAAAGTCAAGGAAATGCCTAAAGATGCAACTTGGACCAAAGTAGAGAGCTGTTTTCTATATATAGAAAGTTAGTTCTTAAGTTAGTTGCTTTTTTTTTTCACATTTATCAGAATTGTCTTCCTGACTTATACCAAGCAGCAGTTTTGGGAATGCCTTGGAGACTGTAAGCTGTAAATCAATAGAATATCTTCTGATGTTCTTTTGTTTGGTTTGGGGGTTTTTTTTGCATTTTAAATTTTACTTTAACTTTTTAGGTTGTTAGTTTTTAGGAAATTCGTGATGAACCAAAATCTTCTTGACCTTTTATTCAAAGATAGTCTCACCTTTTGCAGTATGTTAAATTGTCCTTAGTCTCTAATAAGAGAATAAAGAGGTAAAATAGTCTAAAATCTCGTGGTGCTACATCATTCAAGACAATTTTTGTTGACCTGCCCTAATTAACAGGAGGAATGATGTCAGCAATATAAAATATATAGCTATTAAATTTGCTGGTTCTAGAGTGCATTTTGCATGCCTATGTTATTGTTAATAATATTCTGCCTAATCTAATACAATTAGGATTCTAAATCTGGGTTTAAATTTTGTCCTTACTGACTCACAAAGTGAAATTCTCAATATTCACCATTAAGATCTTTTTAATATTAATGTTTAATTTGGTATTCGTTAGACTAAAAGAAGAGGGGGTGGTAGAGGGGTATCAGAGGTGTCTGATTTGCCCGTCTAAAGAGGCAGAAAATAAAAGATTAAGCTGTTGACATGAATTAAGGTTGGGTTACACTAAGTGAGTGTCTTTTCATGTTCTTGTCTTCCCTCGTAGGGGTGTATACTCTCCTCATAATACAGAAAGGACTAATACCTTGGACCTACCTAGTTTATGGTTTTGTTTCACTTGATTGATTGTACATCCTCCTGAAGTTGGGACTGAGATATAGCCATCCTCTTGTCAGACTGAGAAACTGAGAAGGCAGCTGAAATGACCATCAACAAGTTAAGGGCTTTAGCCCTTCCCTTTTCATTTAATAATAATCTCTATAACTCTTAGCAAAGCATTAGAGCAGCTGTTCCTCTGCAGTCAGTGGCTTTGGTGTTTTTAGTATGGATTATTTCCTAATCTTATAGACCCACATGGAATGGAGGTAGAAGCACAGCACAACTCGATATTGATTAAATTGAACTGCTAAAACCCACAGTACTTATTAACATAATCTCTTTGTTTGGCTACTCCTGTGATAGAAGTTTCTCTCCCACTGTATCAAAAGTTTTCTTGAACTGAGTGCTTGGATACGTTTAGAGTTAATGCCAACCTCTGTGCTAATCTTCCATCTCCTTTTTCTCCTAACAGCTGTCACTGAAGTGTAGAGCTCCTGAAGTCTCTCAGTACATCTATCAGGTCTACGACAGCATTTTGAAAAACTAACAAGACTGGTCCAGTACCCTTCAATCATGCTGTGATCAGTGCAAGCCAAGAACTCTTAACTGGAAGAAATTGTATTGCTGTGTAGAATCTGAACCCAAACACACTGAGGCCACCCAGCAAGGTAGTAACTAGTCTAACCTGTGCTAACATTAGGGCACAACCTGTTGGATAGTTTTAGCTTCCTGTGAACATTTGTAACCACTGCTTCAGTCACCTCCCACCTCTTGCCACCTGCTGCTGCTATCTGTCCTTACTTGTGGGCTTCTCCATGCTGTGCCAATGGCTGGCTTTTTCTACACCCTCTTTTGAGTGTAGTTTGGTATTTTGTAATTGAGAGCTCATTTCAAAAGCAGAAAAAGACAACAAATATTAAAGCAAGGAAAAGTGTCACTGAAACACTGCACTTTATTGTTTTATACTTTTGTACATATGAGAAACCAAGGGAGTAGTGCAACCGGTAGAAAGCATTGAAATGACTGTCATTAACACACAGTCCTGGAGGCAGAGATGCAGTTACCTGCCCTAGCTTTTGAGGGGTTGTCTTATCTGTGATAGCCTTATCCCTGGTCATTTGGATTTTCAGTTTGCTTTTTTTTTTCCCCTCCAGACTCCTTTTCCTTGGCCAAGCCTTCATGTTTCCCCTTTTCCATATCATAATCTCATTTGATTGCTCTGCAATTGGGAACGGTGATCTTCTTGAATGATGTTTCAGGGTGCAAAAACTATAGAGCCTGTCAGCACCAAAGCTGAGAGAAGTTACACCTTACTCCTTTCCTTTCCCCTGAACAAACCTGCTAATCCCACTAATTCAGGAATTTGAGTAGAGATGGGGAACAAGAACCCAGATGCTGTCCCCTCACCCCCTCTCCTGCATTTCTCAGGTCCAGTTCAAATCTAAAATCCTACTTTTAGAGTTGAAACAGAGTAATAACTTACCAACCCTCTTTTTCTACAAAGGAGAAAGATAAAAGGCACAAAGGTCACTGCCAAGGCCTGTCAGCTGTGTAGTAGCAGAGCCGAGACTGAGTCTCCTAAGTCCCCGTCAGTGTGGTTTTCACCACAGGACTATCTCTTGTCGTTTTCCCCTAATGCCTTCTCCTGCCTTTTCTGTGCCTACTTTTTGGCTCTTCACATATTCCATATTGATTTTGACGCCCCGTTTATTGGCATCAGGTGGCAGCTGAGTATCTTTTGAATTACTCGAAGGTAAAGCCAGATGCCAGAATGAAGGCATAGCCGGTGTTTCCCATATGTCCCCGGAGCCCCACTTCTTGAGGCCAGCAGAATAAGTGCAGAGATGAAGTGAGCTTAGAGATGTCGCAAATGCTCTTTATCCCTTCAGCTCTCTGATCTGCTCTTTCTTAATGATGCTTAGGCTGCAGGGCATATTAAGATCATCCCAGAGGTTCAGGCAGTTCCTGTCATCTCTGAAAAGACTGGGGGATATGAAATCTTCCCCCTACCCCCCTTAACACATTGGATATGGTTTTTCAAAGGATGCTTTATGCCCAATATACCAACCTGTTTAGCAGTGTTATACTGTTTGATCTGCGGGCACTTGTTGCATTGCCTGGCACCCAGTATTCAGGGTCCTTGACTAAGACTGTTCTTCTCAGATGCCCTGCTTAAATCTGGGGCACTTCAGGCTCCACGGGCCTCATGTTGGACTGAGACCTAACTCACTGGACTCAGAGGAGGAATCGTGAAAACAAGAGCAAAACTACCCCACACCCCTATTTCATGTCTGAAATAACCCTGCTTCATACCAGTTGCAAAGCTTGTGGGGAGTGGTCCCCCAAAGCACTTTCTTAAACGTTGAGAATCTCCAAGAGAAGAATATTTGGGGAGGGAGTGGAAATATATCCCTTGCACACCACCCCTCAAGCACATGGCAGTAGGAAACCACAGGATTGTATGTGGGAGGTGGGTAGGTCGGTGATGTGTGGGGTGGAAAAGCAGGTTGGTAAAGTTCCTTTCTTGGGACTCATTCCTGGAGTCAGTGGATACAAGTAGTGAAGAAGGTTCACACTGCAAATAGTGTTCTCATCTCAAAGCAAACTATCATTCCAGAAGGAAAAGTACGTCGGGGCAAGCAGACAACACAATTTCCTACCAGAATATGTCCCTCAACCCCCAAAACAAGGCTTCTGTCAGCCTCCCCACCAGTGATGGATAACAGCTCCTATTCTCAGCTGACCTGACTGAGCCAACCCCTGAACTCTGCACTCCTTGGGGAGGCCACCTGCCGTCACACCCCTGAGCAGAGTTAGGGAGGAATTCTACTTCCCGTAAAAGGACCTCTGCTGAGGGGCAGAACCTGGTGCCTCCACCACAGCTTCCCTCTCGGCTCATTCCAAACTTGGCCAAATTAGGGGAGTAGGGTGGAGGTTGCCCTGCATCCCCCCTCCTCTGCCTGAGTGTGTCTTTGTAATGTCAGCTGGCATCATACAAAGGGCAGGAGAAGCAAACACCCAGAACTCTTTTGCTGGTCAGAGATTCCCTGAGTGTCTGTCCTCACCCAAGCCTGCTCTGTGTGTCTGTGTTGTGAAGCTTGAGACTCTGGAAAGAAATGGGGAGGGGGGTGGGGGAAATGTTGCCCTAAGAATGCTTCTCATTCCTCTGTTCTTGTTGGGTCCTGTTTTTGGGGAGGGTGGGGGTTGGGGGAAGCTTGACCTTGTGTCTTCGTCAATAAACTCACATTTACACAAAATGAAATTTGTGATATGTACTTTTTTTTCCCCCCAGAATTAACATTCTAGGAGAAAACACAGCCAGCCAGAGAGGGACAGAACATTCATAACCACTCTATTAAAACTTTTCTGACTGCCCCAGCCCTCCCAGGGATTCAGCCACATGAAATTAAGAGTAACTTAAGGGAGAATCATATACCTCCTGGAGGCTCCATTTGAGCAAGCCCCAAACCACCCTGCGACTCCAGGCATCTCTACAGACAGGGAGTGCTCAGAGGAGCCAATCTGTCTTTCCTGGCAGTTCCCCTGCTGGGGCCCCAGGCAGACGGTCCCAGGGGCAGTAGCCGGAGCCACAGGGCCTTTTTCTGACTTGTCAGTTGGCATCCAGCCAGCAGGACCCAGGGCGAGAGGAATGCGGCAGAGCTTCTCATCAGTTTACTACCCAGGATGTCTCAATCATCTCTCAACTTACAAAAGTCTCTCAGACCTGGCCTCAGGGCCTGCATATTCCCAAGCAAATGGAATTAATGCTGCTTTAAAACAAGTTTCCCAGGGAGTTCCAAGACTAGAGGCCTGCATTTGTGTTGCTGGGGGCATGTGACCCATTTGTTGTCAAGACAGGAGGCCCCCCCCAAGCCTAGGTTCTGATAAGCTGACAGCTGCTGAGATCTCCCACTGCCTGGAATTGGGGGAAGAGGCTGGAATGAACACCAAGATGCCCCTGGACAAGTCCCTGAACCTCTCTCACCACTAGAGTGAATGTAGATCAAGCACTGCAGCATTTGGGACTTGGTGGGTGCTCAGCAACCGTAGCTGCCTTTATTACTTGGATGTCCAGACCCCATGAGCAAACTGCCTTTGGCAGCTAGGAACTTTCTGGTTGTCTCTGTGTTGCCCTGCTGCAGTTGGCCCTGGCTGTAATAGGAAAAACGCTTGGTGAGAGTGGGGTCAAATCGGGGTCGCCAGTTAAGAATGACATTAATGTCACCTGGAGAGCTTTCGAAAAAGACATGGTTCAGTTCAGTCTGGAATGGGACCTGGGGGAATCAGCATGTTTTAAAACTCCCCAGGTGTTTTCTAACTTGCAGTCAAGGTCAAGAATCACTGCCAGAGAGAGGCTCACACCTGTTCGCCTACTTCCTCTTCTACAGTAATACTCATGTTCTGTGGCAGTTGAAAAATGGTTAAAGCACTTTCATATGTACAATACCAGCTTATTCCCTTACCTATCTCATGAATTTAATTTCATCTCCAGTTTGCAGATAAGATGTGACAGAGCCACATCTTCTGACTCCCTCTCTGCGTCCTTAGAACTACACTGTAGCTTCCTCCTTCGTCCACTGGAGATTCTGTAATAGGTTCTCTCCTACCTCTGCTCTCAGCCACATCCCACCTTCCTAAGCCCCCAGGATACCAGTATGTTCAGAGCACACTGGTCCCAGACTTGCACCTGAGATTACACTGTCTTTCTCTGCCTGTAAAGTGACAACTAGGAAACACTGAGATCTCAGGTACATTGTTTCTGAGGTCAGAAAACAGCTGAGGACTCGCAGGTTTGGGCTTTCTACTCCCACTTCATGCATTAATGCTTTTTCTGGTTTTGCTTAGACCCAGATTCTTTTTCCCTGCCACCCCCAGCTCCAGGAGGCAAGAGCCTGTTTATTTTAATACCTGGTATGGCACTTGGAAAAGATCACACCTCCCCCGTTGTTACCCAATTCTATCTCCTGAACACTAATCCTAGAATCCCAACCAGCCCTCAGACATGTTATTAGCAACAAGGATGTTTCTTGAAAAGTTTCCGAGTTGGCTCCAAACTTACCATCTCAGTTTCTCATTTAGCTTTTGCCCCGCCGTGCTCGATGCTGCCAACAGAGGGAAGGCTAATTTGGGGGTTGGTTAGACCCAGATTCTCAGCTGTAAAAGTGCTTGCAAGGACTGTTTCCAAAAGTATCATTTTGAGACAAGACTGCCATCTCTGGGATCATTTCTCAATGCTTTGGGGCTGGGATTACTCCACTCATCCCACTTCTCCCACCGGGTAGATGTTAGAGGATGATGCTCAAGTCCAGCCTTTGGCTCACCCTCCCTTGTTTCATTTACTCTTCACTTATGGTCGGAAACCCCAGGATCTGGCCAAATAGCCTCTAAAAGCTCAGTAGGATCCTCAGCTATGATGGAGCAGGGGCAGAGGTAGGCAGGTTTGGGTCTTTGACACTTCTATCCCACTTCGTGTGTGGGCCTCAGCTACTGCAGGCGGTCCCATGTGTCTGCTCCCTGAGTTTGCACCTCAGCCAACAGGCATCCTCAGCTGAGCCAGACCCACCTGAGGCTCAAGGTCAGACCCAAGTACAGAGTCTTTTCACATGTTCCCATCAAAGTGCTCCTAATGATAGGGGAGAGTGAACAGGCCCCTAGGGGTGCATGTTCTTAGGCCGAAGTGACTCTCAGCAAACCAAGATGACATCTGTGTCCTAACTTCGGGCAAATCTTTCACTTTATGTAGATGAAATTGCTGTTTGCTTTTTTAAATAAAAATAATCCTTTAAATGACCTTTCACTGAAGGCCAGTATGAGGTCCCATAATTAACCTGGGGCTTTGTATTTCCCTAGTGCAGTGGCGCTATCACTGCTTACTGCAGCCTTGACCTCTCAGGCACAAGTGATCCCCCTCAGGTAGCTGAGACTACAGGTGTGCACACCACCACGCCTGGCTGTTTTTGTATGTATTTTAGAGACGAGGTTTCACCACGTTGCCCAGGCTGGTCTTGAACTCCTTGGCTCGAATATTCTGCCCCCCTTGACCTCCCAAAGTGCTGGGATTATAGACATGAGCCATTGCGCCCAGTGTATTTTAATTTATTCCTTCTAGTCCACCTTCGGAATGGAGGGCCACAGCCTGGGGGAGCAGACATAAAGCCTGGGATCCTCGGGCAGGGTGAGGATTAGAGATTTTCAGATACAGTGGAGGGATAAGTGATGCAATCAAGAGGCTCTTAGCGACCCCATGTGATCCCACAGGGCCAGTTAAAATCTGATTTATTCTCCCCAAAAGTGGTGTTCCAGGAGGAAGCCAAATTCATTCCAGCCCTATACTTGCTTCTAGCTGCTGCCCTGGTCCTTTCATACCTCCACCCCAACCCTCTGGGAGCCTACATAGAATAAATGGAACCGCTGTGCCACGGTGATGCTCATCCTCCCCTAGGATGCCTGCGTGTCCCTAAAAAAGGCAAAAAATAAAGGCCCCGTGCTGAGACTTCCTACATGCCAGGCATTGTGTTAAGGACTTTACACACCTCAGCTCATCTACACCCTGTCAACAACAGTGAGGGACAACTAATCACACTCCTTTTAATAAATGAGACTATAGACTTCAAGTTACTTGCCTCAGTTACAACAGCAAGTGGCAGAGCCAAGATTGAAATCCAGCTGTCTGATACTGAAGCCCAGGCTCATACCCATTCTCCTCTGTGACTGAACAGGAGAAGGAAGGGAGGAATTGGGAGGGTGCCCAAAATGCAGAGGTCCCAGTGTGGAGGAAAACTGAGTTCTGTTTGGGAGCACACGATAATAGGAGGTCAGAGTGGAGGATGCAGGGTCCCGGGGTAAAAACAGTTGGGATATCTCTCGTGCTCCTGCTCCTCCTCCTGCCCTGGAGGCTCTAAAATGCAATTTGATCAGGCGCTTTCCCTGCTTTAAAACTCTTCCACAGGGCCGGGTGCAGTGGCTCATGTCTGTAATCCCAGCACTTTGGGAGGCTGAGGCGGGCAGATCACCTGAGGTCAAGAGATTGAGACCATCTCAGCCAAGATGGTGAAACCCCGTCTCTACTAAAAATACAAAAATTAGCTGGGTGTGGTGGGACGTGCCTGTAGTTCCAGCTACTCTGGAGGCTGAGGCAGGAGAATCACGTGAACCCGGGAGGCAGAGGTTGCAGTGAGCCAAGATTGTGCCACT